TCTACTCGTTAGCACTATGATTCATTCTCCTTGATCATAGATATTATTGGAAGAGCAATTGTTAGCTCGCTACCGAAAATCTGAGTGGAATTAACCTTAAAATCTGTATGAAGATATTTTAACCCCTCAATGGCTTATTTCGATTAAAATTCGTTAAATTACGAGTAAAACATGTACAAACAGCATGTGGCCATAATTTTACTTGAACCACTACGTCATGGATATTGTTCTATCCAGAATTGACTTTGATTTGTTTTTTATGTTTGATATTGTACTAGTATTTAATAATAATGGAATTGAAGTCCGTTTTGGTGGCTGCTTATAACGCCCGCCAATGGGGACTTGGAAATTTCATAACGACTCAACCACATGTGTACATCTTTGTTTTAACTTTTATATTAAATTTTACTATTAATCGTTTACTTAAAAAGAAATCAGTGGTACATTTTTTTGAATATAAAAGAGTAACTTTTTATATTAATATCAAGAAATCATACAAAACAATGTCCAGACAGTTATGTTAGAACCGATAGTAAACCCTAGGAATAGAAATAAAATCAGACATCTCATACAAAGCAATCTGATTCGCTAGACACAGAACGGGCAAATTTAAGTCTAAAACAATCGGAACTGAAACACTGTATTTCAAATGTACTTTAGAAGTCCAAATATCTAAATCAAACCTACTCGAAGCAAAATAAAAATAAGTACTAACTAAGAAAAAATAAAATTGAAAAAAAAAACTTTTTCACAAAGTTCTTCCTGGCATGAAGGTGATTCTGGAGGATGATGAGCTCTACCAATATCTTCTACGCAGCCCAAATGAAAGCAGTCAGAAACTCTTGACCAGACGAAGCTGGCTTGGACAAGAAAACAAATCCCTACATCGAGGGAGACAGAACAATCCAGTTGGATCTTTCAGATTATATGAGCATAGATGAGATGTTGTTAGCCACAAAAGCGCACTTATGTCATCTCCTCTTCTACGTTGAGTAGCCAGAGGAGAATAGGCAAAAATGTGCGTAGACATCAGTGATACTTTAATTTACTACATACTATTGGTCAAAGTTTATAAAGTACCTCCATAACATAAAGATCTTCCCATTTTAACATTCAAATAATATGTTTTACAATGAGGTATATGAAATAAATTTGTAATCATAACATAATGTGAGTTTTGAATAATTAATGGTCAAAGTTTATAAAGTTTGACCCAAAAGAGTCAAACTGGGAAGATTCTAGGGTTACAAAAGTTTAATGTAAGTTTAATGCTCCGGAGTACTCCCTCCATGCTCCAATACATGTCCATATAGGGTTTGGCACAAGTTTTAAGAGGGAAATAATAGGGGTAGAGTAAAAGGTGTAGTCAGTTGTGTTTAAATGAAAAAATAGGAACAAGAATGAAAAAGTAGGAATGAGAATGATGGTATATAAGTATATTTATTGAAAAAACTTTCTAAAAATGGAAAGAGAGACAACTATTAAAGAACAATCAAAAATGGAAAGTGGGACAAGTATTGAAACAGAACAATCTAAAATGGAAAGAACGGAGAGAGTATGTTTCTTATAATATTTATTGGAACAGATACGGCGCAACTCATTATAATGATATTTAAATATTTCATCCATCCCGTTAAGATTGTCTCATTTTACCTTTTCGGTCCGTCCCATTAAGATTGTCACGTACAAAATTTGGTAAAGTTTGTGTGACTCTAAATCATTTTTACTTTATTCTTACTTTATCAATTCAGTATCAACCACATAAATCACTTTTTATTAATTTGCGTGTCACCGCCTCTTGTTCCATTGTTTGTGGGACGGAGAGAGTAAGATTTAAATAATTAATACTCCATATGAATTAGCACTTCATCAGATTGCAAAAGTTTAGATAATCTTCACCTATCAATTTCACAAGTTCAAGTAATTTCAAAACCTATTTTATATAAAAACTTATTTTGGCACTAAGATTATATGTTTTTACAAATATGAATTTATTAAAATAAGAAGATAATTTAAAATACTCTAAACGTTATTTGGATGTAGTTAACATTCTAAAATTTCATTTATGAAATAAATAATATTATATCAGGTATAATCTGATTTTACTTGCATCATTATAAATGTTTTGCATATTTTAAATTATGTACTTAGCACCATAAAATTACATATTTGAAAAAACATATGATCATGATCTTAACATAACTTATTATATAAAGTTTGAGGTATATATATTACAAATGCAAGTTTGAAGTACTTACTTATTTTTATTTCTCCCGAAAAAATAATTGAAACGGTATACTTCTATATGACAAAGCTGCGGCTGAATGTCTTAATTAAGATCGTAATATTATGGGAGGATTGTTGTTTTGATCGTGTAACTTTAGTTGTACCCGCTCCGCTATTCTTTTGAATTTGACATTGTTTCACTTATTTTTGTCACACCATTTTTTAAATTTGACATTGTTTCACCGTTCAACATTCTACACCATATTAATGACTTAATGTAGGTATAATTGTCGTCCAATAAAATTCTCTTCAACCTAGTCATTATAGTTCGATCACATTGAAATCCTGATGCACTCTCTCATTTTATCCCTCATGTTCTGATTTCATGGGATATATCTTCATATAGTTCTCCGTCCTAAATTATGGAGTCAAATTAACATATATAACATATCACAAACTAAGATGTCCTTATCATCAAGCTAAAGGGTAATCACACTTAAAAATCATATTACATTTGTTGGTTGAATTGAATTAACTGAAATTACTATATCCTAATTACTTTTCATATAATTTTTGTATAATTTAGTATATTATCCCGGTTCTATCTTTTAATCAAAACTTTCATGAAATAGAACAAAACTACCCCACAATTTTAAAAATATCAAACAGCGTCTCGGTGTGTATTTCAATTACTAGGGTAGGGAATAGCGTATTAGGACATGTGTCTAAATTCTAATGGTGAAGGAAAATTCCCTTTGTACATGTCAGTTTTTACACGCCGGTCAAATTGTCCGTGCACAGACAATTTGACCGGCGTATTATGAAGAAAATCGATTTTCACACAAACAAAAATAAAAAATTATCTGTATCACAGACATTTTAAAATTATTTTTTAAAATTATCGTTTAAAATTGTTTGTATCAAAGACAATTTATCAAAAATTCTCATCCAAAATGTCTGCGATACATACAATTCTTTATTTTTGTTTGTGTGAAAATGTTTTTTCTTCATAAAGCACCGGTGAAATTGTTTGTATACCTGATCAAATTGTCTATATGCAAACAAATTGATCGATGTGTAACCCACCATGTATACTAAGTGGGACTTGTGAAATAACACCCAAGAAATGAAAGCAATAGTTCACCAGTCCACCACGGTTGAATTTTCCACTAGTTTCTTTGTCAACAACAGCTTAAAAGTGCAATTCTAATGACGGATTTGAGCAAATAGTTTATGAATGGGGTAGACTTAACTTTTTTGGCTTCTTGAAATACAAAAGTCAGCCGTCACCGGACAGCAGTCAACTGAGAATTTGTTCCATCTGATCTGTTCTGGTCTGATCTAATCTTATTTGAGACTGAAAAGGATACAAAAGAAAATTAGGAGCGGACATCAATCTACAATATATGTTACATCATTTTCAAATATTCTGAACGCATGTGAATATTATTCTACGGAGTACTCCGTATTATATAATTATATTTAAGGCAGGGTCCAATATTTTTGTTTCATTTCAAACCGGTATCGATCTAAAACATTTTTTAATTTATATATACATATTACTCCGTATTAAAATTATTTATTCAAAAGCATAATTGTAATATATTTTGTAGCTTGAAAAACATGGTTTATACTTTTTGTTTTATTAATAAAAAACGTGTTATTAATGACTCGTAAATAAATCGTTGACTAGTCTAGAGTACATCTGACTAATTTAAACAAACCATCACAACCCACTGTGATAGCATGAGATGAATATACTACCTCCCTTCCCAAAAGAAGTTGTTAGGGTTTGTCCTGAGAAAACATGGGTCCTGTGCAAAAAAAATGTGGCTTTTTCCTATAATAGGTAGAAATATAATATAAGTGAAGTTTATATATGTAAAAATTTGCTACAATTATAATTTATATCAAAATACAAGTTTTTTTGGAAGTATCAAAATACAAGTTATTCACTAACATAATAGTTAAATTAAAAGTAATGCTTACCAAAATACACTTCATTCGTTTGTTAAACTGAATTATAAATTACTATCTCTGTCCCCCTGTTATTGTCCCATTGCGGTTTACGATGCTTGACTGACGATAAAGCAAACAGATCCCTGTTCGCACTAGAATTATTTTTAGAAAAAAAAATTGCATATTCATAAACTACATTAAAAGTTTTACAAAGTCGCAAAAAACAGAATAAAATTTGATAAAAAATTGATCAATAAAGTAACATATTGAGAGTGATTTATGTTGATCAAATGAATAGGAAATGAGACAATAATAGAGGGACGGAGGGAGTATTAGACTAATAACCTAATACGTGAACGTGGTGATTAGTCAAGTTCAATTATTATAAACCTCAAATAGATTAGGTATTATCAATTCTGTGCTATATACTTAGACTTGGTATTTGGTATGTATATATATACTTCCTCCGTTCTTAAATAAATGCAACGGTCAACATTTCACACTTGTCGAGACACAACTTTGACCATTAATATAAATGATTTTGTATTGGTAAAAAAATTAAAAAAAAATAGATTATGAAAATTTACAATGAGACAAGTTTAACACTATTTTTTCATAAAATAATATTATTACATTAATAAATAAAATGTAGTCAAAGTAGAACATGTGAATAGTGTAAAAGTCAAAGTGTTGCATTTATTTAAGAACCCGGCGGTATGTACTATCGTACATATCTATGTGATTGGGGCACACCTTATCTGAACTCCTCTGAACCACTCCCTTCCTATAAAAGGGTCAACTAAGTTGTGAGAAATAAGTGCAACGATTTCAATTCATTAGCTTAATCGATTATTATTGGTTTCATTCCGTCGTCATGGCTTCAGCCACACAGACTCAATTGGGGAATGCAACAATATTGCTCATAGCTTTAATGGCCGCATCTCTCCATCTCACAGGTAATTAATACTACTATTATTATTAACTCCAAATTAAATAAGCATTAGGTTCTCCCCAGCTTATATATATATATATATATATATATATATATATATATATATATATATATATATATATATATATATATATATATATATATATATATATATATATATATATATATATATATATATATATATATATATATTTACATCATATATTCATATATTCAATTCTTTCCTTTGAAGTTCAAAGTGGCTCCATTAATTAATATATACTTCTTGGGCCAAAGTAATTACTCACATTGGACAGAACCTCACTTCCTATTCACTAATTTGTAATTAAAGTTTAATTTACATCTTCTCATTATGTAGGTGCTAGGTTAGGGCGTCATTAATATGCTTGAATATCCATATTTGACTATTACTTTTCAAAGTGTAAGATAAAATTAAACGACCCATAATAATTGCCTTCATAGTATAAAGTTCAACTATAAAAGCATCATTTGTCGAAGTTGACGAAGATTGACTTGGAAAAGTCCAATTTGGAGTAAATAGAATATATACATTTTTTAATTGATAAACACCTATTCAAATGAACTCACCATTTTTGTAATTATAGCTACTTTCCTTATCCCATATTTAACCAAGAAAAGTTTAGTGTTTGGTTAAAATCTATAGTATTTCGATCTTTTTCACACATTTACTTTCAAAAAGTCAAAACATATTCTTAATTCTTGATGCACTAGTTTATCATTGTATTCTTTTATTAGTAAGTCTTGTTATGATTATTACGAAAATAAAATGCAGCTAATAAGTGGGTTAAGTATACTAACATGTACAAGGGAAAATATCTAAAAGATTAAAGATAGATATGACAATTCTCTCAAAATATGATAATACCTTTTTTCACCCGCACGGGTAGCTCAGTTGGTAGAGTGGTGGGAGATTTGGAACAATGGACCAAGGTTCGAATCCCCGCAGTGACCTGGTGGAGGTCACACAACTTGAAATAAAGCTGGACCTCTGGTGCGCACGAGTGTATGAGCCTACTGCCATTCCAGTGACTGAGTCACCGTGACTAACCTTCTCACCATCCTGTCGGGTTGAGTGGGGGCTCTGAGGTGGCAGATTACACCTTTTGGAACAATTGGAACAATGATAATACCTTTTTTCGATATGTATAACTGACACAAATGGAACGAAATAAAAAAGAAAGAAAAGGATGGGTGATATAGGTACATCATGTCGTCATAAATGTAATTTTCTCTTAATATACTTATGTGCTTTTACAGCTGGTCAGATCGGAGTTTACTACGGAAGAAACGGCGACAACTTGCCATCTCCGGCGGCGGTGGTGGGCTTATACAAGCAATACAACATCCAGAGAATGCGAATTTACGAACCATACCACCCTGTTCTCGACGCCCTCAGAGGCTCCAACATCGAGCTCACCGTCAGCGTCCCCAACATCAACGACCTCCAGTTCGTCGCCGGCAGCCAGGCCAACGCCAACCAGTGGGTCCAAGACAACATCCGGAGCTACTTCCCCGCCGTCAACTTCAAACACATCGTCGTCGGCAACGAAATCTCCCCCATCAAGAACAGCCAGTACACCTCTTTCGTACTCCCCGCTTTGCAGAACGTACAGAACGCAATCTCCGCCGCCGGCCTCTCCCAGCAGATCAAAGTCACCACCGCCGTCGACACGGGCGTTCTGGGTAACGCTTATCCTCCCCAGAACGGCGTTTTCCGCGGCGACGTCGTCGGGTACCTCGCCCCGATCATCCGGTTCTTGTCGGATAATGGGTCGCCGTTATTTGTCAGCATATACCCGTATTTCTCCTACGTGGATAACTCCGGCCAGATCAACCTCAATTATGCTCTGCTTCAGCCCAACAGCGGCGTCAACGCCGGTGGGGTGTACTACGACAATCTTTACTACGCGTTTGTGGATGCAATGTATGCGGCGATGGAAAAGGTTCTGAATGGTGCCGCAGCAGCGTCGTCTTCTTCGCTGTTATACGGTTCTGTTAAGGCCGGCGGGAAGTATGTTCCGCCGGTGAAGGGAGGAGAGTCTGGTTGGCCGAGCCGCGGCGGCGGAGGGCCGGCGAATTTCGACAATGCAAGGATATACAACAATAACTTGGTTCAGGTGGTGAAGAAGGGAACACCCAAAAGACCAAACCAACCAATTGAGACTTACATATTTGCTATGTTTGATGAAGATCAGAAGCAGCCTGCTGGGGTGGAGAACAATTTCGGTCTTTTTACTCCAAACGCCCAACTCAAATACCCAATCAATTTTAACTGAATTGCAAGACAGCTAAAAACTACTTATGTTTACTTCAATAAAACAAAAACTGATGTTGTATCCTTACTTGGAATATAATAGCTGGTAATTAAGGAGTGCTTAATCAAAATGATTATTCTAAGCTCCAAATCTGGTGTTATTGGGTGTACCTCTTATGTGATGGGTTAATAAAAGAGAAATGGTTCCATCTAAAAGCTATTTAAAGATTTGCGCAAATTTAGTTTGTTATTTCATACCCAGTCATTGTTGGATTGAAATTGTGTGCATTTGTCAATGGTATCAAGGAGTAATATTTTGTTTTACCAAAAAAGAGAGAGTAATATTTTGCTACATATGAGGCATTTACTCCACATTAATGCTCCTCCTAGCTTTCCTTTGCACAATTAATAATGACTTCACAAATCACAACTAGTCTAGTTTGGTGTTATGTTTAAATAATACCTCTTGTTTTTAAATAAATGTTTTAACATGTTGAATTTTACACTATTCGCATGTTCTACTTTGACTACATTTAATTTATTAATGTATTAATAATTTTTTTAAAAAAATATTGTTAAAGTTGTCTCATTGTAAATTTTTAAAATCTAATTTTTTTAACTTGTTTTACTAATAGAGAATTATGTAAGAATAGGGAGAGACATATTAGAGAAACTTGGGACATAAAATTTAAAGGAAAAGATACCCTCTCTTAAACTCAATAAATTTGTTTGTGACATTTGTTTGAGTTTGTTTTTTATTTATATCATATAAAACTATTTAAATGTATAAAATTAGCTAAACCCACTGCTTCAGTAGGAGGAACCACAATAGGGATTATCAACCTGCAATGGTGTGATGTGATCTTCAAATATGGCAAAACTAATAATTCCCAAAATGAACAATAAGTTAATTAAAATTTTCCTAGCCTTTTCTTTTTCTTAGAACACATTCAATCAAAATTCCTAGCTCGTAAATGCAAACTGAATAGCACACTTTATTTACCACTTTATAAGTAATAATACTCAGTATATCAATCTAAATATGATAAGCAAATGCAAACACAGCATAAATATGATAATAGGTTATGGAAAATTAAACAACCATCAAATACACAAATATTACACTACCATCGAAAAAGACAATTACTTTTAGAGCTAAAGGACAACTTCAAGCATGTGGTGTTTTCTCATGAATGTAACTTAAATATAATTTTGAAGAACATAGCTGTTGAGACCATGTGGTATAATAGTCTATGTACGAAAGTGTAATTCTGTAGTTTAAGATGAGCTTAATTGCTATTTCTTTGAGTGTGCAATTATTGTTTAAATAAAACCATACATCTTTGATCATGGTCAGTTTAAAAAAAAAAGTATCTTCCCAGCAACAAAAGTTCTAGAACAAAAAGATCAAAATGACATTCCTTACTTTGTGTTCTTTTGGTTTGCTGCAGCCAATGTACAACTTCGATTGTTATTGTCTGGAACAAATTATAATCATATTGAAAAAAGAAATTCTTTTTTATTTTATACGAGATATAAATGTATTTTTAAAAGAGAAGTCAACACTCAACAATGACAAATCTATCCCTAGAATTTAGAAAGTCATCCAAAAGCTTATGTATTTAATGGGTCTCTATTAGTTAGGTTTTCTTTTTCCGCCATCCTAGAGATCTGCTAACATGAATTCAAGAAGCTTCTACCTAAAAATGTATTTAAATCAGTAAAAGAGAAATATGATAAATCAAAAGCACAATCTTACTACACACATTAATAAAGAGAAGAGGATCTTGAAGCTTTATTAATATTCTAAATGTTGAACCTAATAGAGTAGAATTACTTCTTTTGTGCGTGTTTTTGGATGTGCTTGCTATCCCAATTTTTGGAACCAAAAATGATTTTTAATTTAAACACTGAGGTTTTGGTTCCTGATCCTACCTATTTTTCTGTGGCTAATAAAGATCTTAAATGGAGAGCTGCAATAGCTGAGAAATTTAATGCACTTATTGCTAATAAAACATGGGAGTTAGTGTCGTTTGATTCTAGTAAAAATGTGGTTGGGTCTAAATGGATTTATAAAACTAAATATCGATCTGATGGATCTATTGAACGTCATAAAGCATGTCTGGTTGCTCAAGGGTTTAAGCAGTATGCATGGATTGATTTTTCTGAAACCTTTAGTCCTGTTGTTAAACCCACCACCGTTCGAATTGTTCTCACACTAGATGTTTCTTATAATTGGCCTATTCGTCAGTTGGATGTTAAAAATGCGTTTCTTCATGGTAACTTGACTGAAGAGGTTTATATGTGTCAACCACCCGGGTTTATTCATCCCCACTTTCCTCATCACATATGTTGATTGCGCAAGGCCATTTATGGTCTTAAACAGGCTCCCCGAACCTAGTTCTATCGTTTCAGTAGCGTTCTCTTAACTCATGGTTTTGTATGCAGTCGTGCTGATAATTCTCTGTTCATATTTCATCATGGTACTCGCATTATTTATTTACTTTTATATGTGGATGATATCATTGTTACTAGTAATTCCTCATCTCTTATCAGTCAGTTTATTTCTATTCTAGGGAAATACTTTGCCATGAAAGATCTCGGTGATCTCCATTTTTTCTTGGGAGTTCAGGCTGTGCGCAATTCTAATGGTTTGTTTTTATCTCAAGCCAAATGTGTGTCAGATCTTTTACATCGTTTTCATCTCCACACTCTTAAATCTGTACGCACGCCACTCCCTAATAGAACTAAGTTGTCTCTCACTGATGGTGAATTACTTGCTTATCCTACAGAGTATTGTAACACGGTAGGTGCATTGCAATATTTGACTATGACTAGACCTGATATTACATATGATGTTCACTTGGTGTCTCAATTTATGCATGCACCACGTACTTCACATATGTTGGCTGTGAAGAGAATTTCCAGGTACTTGCAGGGCACTCTTACACATGGGCTTCTTCTTCGGACGGCAGAACGTCCTTTTTTTCAGTTCTTGCGTACTCTGATGCTGATTGGGATGGTTGCCCTGATAGTAGTCAGTCCACTACTGGCTATGCTGTTTTTCTGGGTCCAAATTTGATCTCTTGGCGCTCTAAGAAGCAACCCACTGTCTCCAGATCCTCTACTGAAGCTGAGTATCGAGCTATTGCATATACGGTGCAAGACACTTTACATATCCGATCTATACTTTTGTAGCTCGGATTTCCTCTGCATCGACCGATTCGGCTTTTATGTGATAATATAATATTTCTGCCTCATATTTATCTGCTAATCCCATTCAGCATGCTTGCAGTAAGCACATTGGTATTGATTATCATTTTGTTCGAGAACGTATAGCTCATGGTGATCTCCTCGTGCAGTATGTTCCTACGAAGTTTCAGTTAGCGGATATTTTTACCAAGTGCTTGGCTCCTCAACAGTTTTTTATTTTTACGAGACAATCTACATGTAGTTCCTCCTGCATAGATCGAAGGGGTGTAATAAAGTAGAATTAATTATATATCAATTATTAGGCAGTATCTTAATTGTATTTGGAGACTTATTTCATTATAAATATACAGTGAGAGCTACCAGTCTGGTTAAGCCTGTTTATTACTTTAACAGAACCCTGTAACAATCTTACTGCATGGTTGGCGATCTGTAACTGCTGCTAGATAGAACTGCAAACGTTGAACATCAATTATCATGAAACTAAACAAAATATTACATTTAGGCATTATATAAGAACAAACATCCAAAATATAAATATTAGAAGCTAGAGCTATACAAGAAACAACCAATATATATTTTGGCGATTACAGCGGCATCCACGATCTGATTCCTCTTACAGTCGACTTTGGAAGAAACCGCCACCACCATGAACATTACCTTGACGCATTCCTGTAATAGTTACTTAAATGCAGGGAGGGAGGGAGAGCGAGAAGATTTCTGTGGCAACTACTTTCCTCTTTAGCTTCTTACGTTAGACTGTCCAGATTCCTTATGCTTGCCGGAATGAATCCAGGCTGACCAAAGCATAGATAACCAAGCGTTTCTGTTAATGAGCAACCCGGGAGTGGTGGAGCCAGAAATTTATGATTAAGGGGGTCAGGCTTTGATAATTTTACATTGTAGGGGCCAAAGTTTAAAATATCAACATATTTTTTCTAGATTCAGAGTATTTATACATAATAGTATATACTTAAGATTTTTTTTCTTACAGGGGTCAAGGCCCCCTCCAGCCCCTCCCTGTCTCCACCCCTGCAACCCGGCCATCATTACTCCATGTATCAAGAACAGCAAACTCTCGGAGTACTCCGTGTTTGAAATGCATGTCTAGGGAGAAATGGGGTTCCAGGAGCAAAAGCCTAAATATGCACATATATAATCATAATTGTACAACTCTCACATCTAACGGTACCACCCTTTATAACATCAAAGTTATGCCAACATGTTTCATCCAAAAAAAGTTATACCAACATGTTTTAGATAGCCGTTATGCCATTACCTCTATTCATGTTTATAAGATTTTATTTTTATAAGATGGGGGTATCATGGAGTAAGTACGGAGTATATAATAGATCGATTCATTGCTTGATTCATTTAACTTTGCCATTTTTATCCGATATTGCCTAGATAAAATATTATCAACCACCATAAAATAAGACTCCATATTACGGATTGCAGAGTAGTAAACATGCATAATCAAGCATTCCTCGAACTTTATTCACAATAATGATTCGAGTCAATGCAACATGCTTAGTATATGAAAGTCGGAACCGCTCAAGAAAAAATGTACTATCGTATATGTTTCCGTTTCAGATACTCTACGAAAAGTATGGTGCACCGATACTTCACCGATGTGTTATCCGCGTATCCGATATGTATCTGATACTGATACTCACCAATACGTGCAGTGTCATGTACGTATTGGGTCTGTATCCGTAATTTATTAAAAGTATTGGGTTTATTTTTAAAAAACAAATACTTTCGATACCCGTATTTGTTAACAGATACACGTATCTGACCCTATAACCCTCTTTTCGTACACGACATGATGAAAATTTAGTAGCCGCCCAAGCGGTCACGTACAAGATGTGGAAACATTTATAGAGATCATTTCGGGAGTATGGAAAATATTGGAATACTATAATTTGTTATTTTGTCGCTTGATGAGCTTTAATTGAAACCAGTCTGGTTAAAAGACTTAGATGTAAATGAAAATAGATAACCAAAGATATTATTTGAATTTAATCGAAATATCACTACTTTAGTTTTTTTAGCCTAATCTTTGAAATTTTATTATAATTGTTAATTTTTGGTACTATTATTACTTTATTTATGAACCTCTGAATTATATATATGTACAAATTATACCCAATATTTTTATTATTTATAAATATACCCCTGTACCCGTATCATATAATTTTTGAAATTGTCGTATCACCGTACCCGTATCCACATATCTGCGTATCGGCGTATTCGTATCCGTGCAACATAGACGAAAACTATTTGGAAACTCTCCAAAAAAATTATTTTTCAATTAAAAGATGGCATTTCTCGTTTCCTCATGATCTTCATGTTTTTGTGCAACATAGGTTGTAGTATCTATGGTGGCACGCAATGTGTTATACATATATTCATTTACATTGGTTTCTCTCTAATCAATCAAATACATAATATTTTGTAGTTGTTTTTGTGGAACAAATGTGTTCTCGACCAACACATGTTGAGTTTCGTTAGAATATCACTTAATTAAATCATGTGCCTATTATTTTAGATGTAGACCATTTATTCTTGTGCTTCAAGTTCTGTGCTACATATAAAGTACTACTCAATACTGGTTATTGTAATTTGTTAAACTATCCTTATCCCAAAACATTATACTATAATATGTGATAGAGTATATCTAGAGAGAAGTGAGAGCTAGAGAGAGAAGTGCAGTAATATGCTTCAATAGAATGATTTTGTAACTGATTAGGGTTGGGACCCCAAGCCTTGGGCTTGGGAGGCCCATTTACAACTGGACCGCTATTGGGCCGAATACAAAGCCACTAATGGGCTGTACAAATGAGTAAGTATAAAATCTGATTCTGGGAGGTCTTCTAGGCCGACGAGGGCGTGGCCGACGAGGGCACGGCCGACGAGGGCACGGCCGACGAGGGCACGGCCGACGAGGGCACCCGGGTTCCTTGGGCTCAGGACCATAATCCGAGTTGGCTCCTTTTCGGCCGACGGGGGCGTCTTGGCCGACGAGGGCGCCACTCTGTTGTCTTGTGCTTTCTGTTCTTCCGAGTATGTGGGTCCTGGGGCTCAGACCCATATACTCCATCAGGAGTCCCCCACTCTCTAAGCTGAGATGTAGACGAAGCGAAGGAGAGTAGATTCATGTGCTTTGTTGCCCTTGGCCGTTAGCCGATGCGGCGTTGGCGTTGTTTCCTCTTTGGTGATCCTGTTCTGTGCTTTGGCCGTTACCTGTTCCTCGCTGTGGGCGGGGAGGCCGTTGTCTCCTTAATGTATTTGAGGATGATGACTGTCTTGTTTCAATGTCGGCCGTTGAAGGCGCGCTTTCCCTTTCTAGACGTTGGTGGTTGAAGTTTATGTTTGGGCCGATGAGGCCGTTGAGGTTATTCCTTGCTTTGAGGACGATGGCGTCCTTTCCTTTGGGTGGCCGATGAGGGTGCTCGCGCACTCCTTTTGGTCGTTGCTGGTTGGCCTTCGTGTTCTTGGCCGAAGGGCCCGTCAAGATTAATTGTTGGCGGAGGACGATGAGTCTCCTTGCCTCTAGTGGCTTGTTGGCCGTCGCTAATGACGTTATGGGCCTTTGGCCGATGAGGTTCCGTTGTGCTGTGTGGATGATGTGGCCTTGCTTTGTGGTTACCTTGTTTATATTCTCTTTGTTTTGTTGAGGCCGGTGTAGTCCCCCAGTCCCCCACTGCTTCAGGCCGAGAAGTGTGAGGGGTGAAGGAGTTGCTTGAGTCCCTGGCCGAAGCGGCATCCCCGTAGTCCCCCTGAATCCAACTCTCATGGCGATTTTCTGGCCAAGGTAACCCTGTGGGAGAACCCTTGTGCGCAGATCGCTTGTAGAGAGTTATCATCAAAGATCATGACGGGGAGCCGATGGCTTGTGGGCCCTTGGGTCCTGTGATCTTGTGGCCGTTACGTTCCTGGCCGTTGCCGTCTCCTTATTGTTTGGCAGTTGTGATCTTGGCGAGCAAGTGGGACGTTGTGGGCGTTTGCTGGCCTTTGTATAGCCGGTGAGCGTGTGTAGGCCGTAGAGTCCGTCTTGCCAGTGGGCTGTTATTGAGTTTGGCCCGTTGGTGACGTGGTGGTCCCCCATTGGTGGCCGTTGGTGTGGCCATTGGGGGGGTGCCACGTGTAGTGACCGTTGGGTGAGGGGTTCTATAAATACCCCTCCCCCTCCGACGAGAAAACGTATTTGCATTCTGAATTTGTCGAAGTGCTGGCCGATTTTCTAGAGAGAGAAACCCCCGAGCCTGTTCTTCGTGTTCTTCGTTGTTCAAGGTTAGTGTTCATCGCGATCTTCCTCACTTTTCATACTTTGCTTCCTAGGTTGTTGATCTAATGTTAGGCGTTTGAACACCATTAGATCTTAAGTTAGTCTCCTTAGGCCCGTGGTAGTAGTTATGAAGAGCTTGAACGACGACTACTACCCCTATGACGACCAGCCCTCCACGAGGTCGCTTGACTACGAGGTGCTCGAGGAGTTTGAGGAGGAGATAGAGCGTTTAAGTCCATACAAATCCGGAGAGCCAGTGGACGAGGAAGGCGAGGACGAGGAGTCCGCCTCCTCTTCAAAGGGTGAGGACGTAGGTGCGTCCTGAGTGGTGGACGGGGCGTCCACTTCTGCTGTCATTCCGTGCCCGAGGCCGGTGTCTGCTGTGAAGGGAGCAGCTAAGCCGAAGAGAGTGAGGAGGCCGAAGAGTGGGCCGGGCACTTCCCAATTGGATCTCACCAACATCTTCCTGATCAAGCCGGAAAGCAGTGCGGTCGACTATCTCGTTGCCTAGATGTACGTGGGGCCGTTCGGGCGGGTTAGGGCACCCAGGCCGACGGACCATGTTCTTCTTCCGCCACCGGGATACTTTGGAGTATACCCGATGAGTTTTGCTAAGGGGTTGAGGTTCCCCCTTCACCCTTTCATTACCGAGTACCTGGACATGGTAGGGCTTCCTCCGGCCCTGCTGACGCCGAACAGCTACTCCCTGATGGTGGGGTTTTTGCTCCGGTGTGAGGAGTTGGGCTACAGGCCGACAACGGCCTTATTCATGAATTTGTACCAGATCGGCCGAGGAAGCCACAAGAACTGTGCGGCCTATGCTACTCTTCAACAGCTGCCGAAGAAGAGGAGTTTCACGGATTTGCCTACGTCCATTCATGGGTGGAAGAGCAAGTTCGTGTTTGTGTCCATTGGTGAGAGTGGCACTGAGTTTCCCTCCCTCAGCCACACCGGGAGGTTTAACCTGCATGACCCGCCGAAGAGCTCTATTTTGGACGCTCAGGTGGAGGCTTTCTTGGAAGGGGGGCCGAGGAGCGTGAAGGATTACATCACCGAATACAAGATGGCCGCCCTCAGCTTCGTGAGG